CTAAAGAGACAACTATCAATTAAGCAACAACAAAGACAACTGACCCTCTTTCCTTGCACTACAATCGGCAACTGTTCCAGGGAGGGCGGGAATACTCTGCGTGTCCCACCGCTAGCTGTCTCTACCTTGTCTGTCTCTCTGTGTCTGTGCCGCTACCCCGCGCCGCAGCGGCCCACGCTGTGCGTGACGCGCGAGGACTGGGAGGAGGAGCCACAGATGGCGCCAGCGTGCTCGCAGCAGGAGCCCGCCTGCGGCAGCGGCGCAACCAGCGGCACCCAGCAGGACATGTGCGCCTCGCTCCTGTTCCTGTCGCCGCCCCGAGCCTCCCCCCGCTCCCTCTCGGGTGAGTGTGTGAGTGAGTGAAGGAGAGAAGGAGAGTGATTGTATGTGTTTCCCTCGTTAATCTTTTCTCCCCCCCCCCTTCCTGTCATAATTTTGATTAAACCCGGGAAATACGCGCACTTTTACTGGGCACGTATCGGAGAAAGAGTAAAACGGCGCACCTCTCTGCGTTTGTTTTTTTTTTGTCTGCTTTGCCTGTATCTTTTAACGAAACCGAAACGAAACGATAATGTAATTAGCCCGGCTCATTCCTGCTCTAACTGGAAAGTCTATTTTATGTTAGCTACACTCATCGTAACTCGTAGTCACAAAAAAAAATGGGGTTCCAAAATTGGTTGTGATCGTTTCATTCTCCCCTTTTCCCCTCTCAACATTCAGACTTCGCGATTCGTCGGCGGCGGCCGGTGACGCTGCGCATCATGCCTCGCCTCAGCCTGCCCATCCTCAGCACCGCGCAGGACGGCGACTGCTGGCCGGCGCAGGCGGCGCACCGCTGGCCGCGGAGGAGGTAGGGAAAAAATACGTTTAATAAAGATAATTGTAAAAGGATAATGCTGGAAGCATAATTAAGACAGCGAAGCAAGCTTGTCGAAAGATTAAATTACGTCCTTGGTAACGTTACGCTCCTCCCTACTACGCGTCTGCATTTGGATTGTAAGAACCAACGAACCATACTCGGAATAACAACCCCGCGTACTGTGTAAACTCAGAGTGCCGAGCGCGTCAAAACAAAGTGTTTGAATTCCTTGAATCTCGCGCCTGTAACGTGTGTACCGCACGGCAGGGGGGGAGGGGTGAAGGGGTGTTTTTCCCTGGGTCGGTTACCCCCCCCTCCCCCACCACCACCACGCTCGTGACGAGCGCCTGATGGTACCCAAGCAGCAGCAGCAGCAGCAGTGACCCTCGGCCGACCACCTCGCCCGGGCCTAAGTGCGTGCGAGAGAGAGGCAGCAGGCCCCACCGCCGCCGCCCCAGATACATGTGTGCTCTGCGTCGCTGTTCCATGTGTGCGGAGCCCGGCCAGTGCGCGGGGGCGGTCGCTGTTGCTGTAGGGGCCCGCCCGTCCCTTCCGCCGCGGCTCGACTCTCGGTAAGTAAGCCATACGACCATTCAAACAACAGAGTTTATTCGATTTCTTTTCATTTCTTTTCCTTTGTGGCTCGGATGTGGTTTTGTACATTGCGCCCATTTGTTCCCCCACGCCTGCCGTGTGCCCGATTGCTTTTCATTTTATCGCGGGGCGGCAGCAGTCCTCGGCGTCATCCGGCGTGGTGCAGTGAGCGAGGGGGAAGGGGTGGGAGGGTCATTGTCTGCAGAGCGACCAGGGCTATTGTCACACGCGCGGCCCCCGGCGGGACCCCACCAGCGGATACACTGCGGGTGAGCGCCGCGGCAGCACGCGGCAGCCACCTGCACAATCCGATTGCCGGGTATTCTTCTCTTCGTTCGCTGATGGACCGATCCCTCATCCTCCCCCCTCCTCTCGCCCCGCTCGCACATTTACTCATTCCCTCGCGTGTACTAGAACGGTAAGTTTATTTCGCTGTTTCTGTGGAAAAAATTACTAATTTTGAGCGAAGGAATAAACTCGTTCTTTTACTCAAGTCATCGCCAGTTGGAGCAAAAATAGCGTCCGTCATCAGCCGTTGAAAAAAATGCGAAGGCCAATGCTAGGTCTCATAACGCCTGGTGGGTAGGCAACACCGTGCCTGTAGTGCGTGCGTGTACTGCGGGCTGGCCCACCCTGGGTATCGCAGGCGCCCCGGTCTCTCATCATTCGCCGAATGATCGAATGAATCTGAGGAACGGGTGCACATATTCTGGACGATCCGTACGAAGAGAAGGTACTGATGTCAGTGAAATGTTGAACTCTGCTTTTAGCTTACAAAACCGAAAAAAGTTTTACTATTGAGTTCATATTTGTCTAAGCTGTCCAGAAACATCACAACTACCTTTGTGCGTATTGTGGATTCTGA